ATTCCTTTGTTGTAACTCTGGGCATAGCTATTCAAAATGGAAGATGTGAGCATGGGAATGTGGGTGGAAAAGTTGAACAGGTCAAGGGCAGTGAAGTATGTGCACAGTTTGAAGTTCTGCCAATTTGGATGTGTGGAGGGTTATATGACGGCACATTACCAGTCTCCCAGACAGATGACGTGTCTATGGGCAAAATTGGAACTTCATGGTAAACCCCACTGCTGCAATATGAGATAACCCCTTGTCACCAAAATCCAACATACATTTTTCTCTCTTTGCCATACCTTGTACATAGTTCAAGTAGCTGGCCGGCCAGGGGGCTTTTCTGTTATTTTTCAACTTCATTCATTCTTTTTTCTTCATTTTTATTCAACTTAATCAGTTAATTGACGATGTCGAGGCCCCTTTTTGTAATTGTTATGGCCCAGAAATACTTGGCATTTAGTAGTTTCTTGTAAAAATATATTTGTTCTATTTTCTGCTACTCTTTTTGGTCGACATCAACATTTCTCTTACGGGAATTCTTCTATTTGTTAATCCTCTACTATTCGTCCATTTTCACTGTACTAATATGGTGCAATCTGACATTTCACATTTTATTGGACCATTTACAATGGAAGACGAAGTTGATATTTTTGTGACGATACCATTTATGCTATGAGTTTAAGTAGCGAGCCACATATTATCTATTATGATCACCATTACAAATCATTTAAATGGTCCAATAAAATGTGAAATGTCAGATTGTTCATGTTATTTATATATTTTTGTAGATTTATAATACAGGATAATGCCTATATGCAGTATTACGAAAAGAAGAAGTTGCAGGTTGTGGTAAGGTTGCATACTTTAATGAGGAAAACTTGAGAAAACCTTCTTATAATGCTTCTTTTGAAGTTAAAATAAGAGCCATCTTGCTCTCTATGTAGTCCCATGCGATTACCGGTCAATGTTAGCCAGTAACCGAGATCCAACTCAGCTCGTTTATCAGTATTAACTACCTGAAATATAGCTTTAACAAGCAAAAATATAGAATACTAAATAAAAAATTTTTATCTCTTCTATTCTTGTAGATTCGAGCCAAGCTCCACTCGTTAACTAGATGAGCTCAGATCGGCTCGTTTATCAAAATAAGTTGAGCCGAACTCAAACCTTAACAAGCCAAGTTCACAAGCAACTTATTACGTTTAACAACTTTAGCCAATAACTAAGCGTGAGTATTCATGTATTTTCCTTATTCGTCTCAACACAGATTATCCACTCTCTTGACCAGAAGAAAGTGCAAGTATTTTAGTACACAAAAGAAACTTATAAAAGCATTTGAATGTTTGATCAAATAACAAAGTGACTGAAAACACCTGGCATCCTTTGCATAACTGCAAAAGCCCTCACATATGTGCAACCCAAAGTTGGGTTAAGACTTCCTTAACATTAGAACCCCACGAATTAAATCAAAAACTTGAAAGTGTATCGCATTCTCTTTCATTTCTGAAGTATCACACCAAAATTATAATTCTACACCCAGTCTACAAATGAATCGAGAGCTACAAAAAAAGAAGACCTAACAGAGCTCAAACATGGGAGTAACTAGTCATAATAGTAGTAAGCATTACAAATCACAAGTCACTTTCGGCATAAGTAGATTTTGTTTTAGATTGGGAAAAGAAGATGTTCACTTCACTCTATGTAGAACTTTTTCTGAATCCGCGGAAGCACTTTTCCAGACGACTGTTTTACCTCATAGCTGAGGTCAACATCCATTAACCGGTGATTTTCTTTTGAACGACTCATTGAAAAATCGAATGTTATATTGTCCCCACTTTGAACTTGCAGAGGTGGATGCAGTAGGAACACCTGCAGTATAATATATTTAGGGGGAGAAAGTGATAATTAACAACATTCACTTCAACTCTTATCTGTGAAAAAGAACATAACTGTGAACACTGACAGGAGATGACAAACAAGATTAAATTCTTCAGCATATTTGGTAGGCTTTCCAAAAAATTTCGGCTTAGAATTTTGGCTAATTTGGCAATCTTAGTAAAATAAATTCTGGAGGTTTGGTTGTTTTAATCCTATTAACTTTCTGGTGCAGCAATTTCTGTCCATTGCAATTTTTCCTTACAAAAAATAGGAATTTCAGTCCTACAATGTCCACAGGCATTTTTGCGAATTTTTTAATTTAGACGTCATTCTGGAGAGAATAAATGAAATGTTGATTCAGTTATAGACAAAGTTGAACCAAATTAGAATTTATACGATCAAAATTGCACCTGACGAAATTTAGGCAACCAGAACTGCAGAAAGTTCAAAACGTATGACTCGGATTTAATAATTGCAGGCAAATTTCACGATTAACACAAACTGAAACTCGATATCAAGAAAAGCATTACAAACCTGCTGGCCCCAATGTGTACCAAAATACTCATCTGGGGCAGTCGTCAACTCGATTTCCTGTTGAGCTGGATTCTTACTGCTACCCTGGGTAAAGTTTTTTCAATTCAAACCACGTTAATTAATTAACCAATTGCATGAAATGCATGCAATATTTAGTAATGCAAGAAGGAGAATACTCACTCGAAAATGGACATCAAACCACCCGGCAAAGCCACAAAATCTTGCATTTTCTTGTGTGATGGATGATGAAATGCTTGCACGAACACTGCGTATATCATCAACGCTAGTTGTCGAGCAGTCTATTTCCTTAATGATCACAGGTGTCCCTATTATCTGATTCGGATGCAGGTTGTTCCATATAGATGTCTACAAAGTATTTCAATAGCAAATGTTTTAATTGAAAAGGATATTTACTAAAAAAAACAGTTCAACGTCGAAATAATTAATTGTTTCTTCATTTTTTTTCTTTTACTAAAAGAAAACAATAAAAAAAGGGAAGGAAAAAAATCATTTTCATTCCTTGAAACGTGAACGAATATGTGTTGAAGTGAAAAAAAAAATAAAAAAATACAACTTATTACGGCAACCTGCAAATAATATTTTCTTTGTTCTTGGTTGAATGGATTAGTCAAAACACTCATGTCCACACCATAATAATTTTTTGTCTCGTTAACAAAACTATGCCAATCCTTCATGGCTTCTTCATAATCGTTCATTTTGTGATCTACTATACCAGATCTAACTGGTGCCATCCACATCCGAGCATGACTTGGATACCTGCAAAAGTAGCTCAATCAACATCGAATATCATGCTCATCAGACATCAAGACTTAGGCAGCAGAGGCAATTTTACATCCACCAATGCTGCCTCTCCCATGGCCTTGCCATTTAAAACTAACTTCGAAAAATTAAATATAACCAGAAAAAGCCAAGAGAACTTTGCAACCAAGGCTATATATGATACAATAAAGCATATACCATTGTTCCAAAGAACCCCTAAGAGGTAGCAGTCGCTACAAAAATGTGATTGCAAAAGTCCAACTAGGACAAATTGGTGATTATTCAATAATTTTGAAAGATATATGAGCAATATTATATTCTGTGACAGAAAAATATGAAAATAGCGGCAAAGATACTTGTATGAGTTAATTTCCCATAGGTACTCAAGTCTTGCACATTATTTCATCCCCTGGGCATAACTATTGGAGCATATTACACAAATATCATTTGTAAGACTTTTATGAATCACTACACTCACAATATATGGAAAAGTAAGATCTACACAAAAATGCAGAAACAAATTTATAAAAAGAATTAAAGAAATAAAACAAACTAACATGACACCATTTGGCTTCAACCAGCGGTCCCGTGCGCAGATTACAGAGTCCAGCATCGACTCACGTAAAAGAAAGTACCCCATCCATTCTGAAATAATTACATCAACTGCCCATCCAAAAACAAAAAACTCTGTTATTTATATAAATGTACAAATATAAGTAGAAATTTAAACAGTAAATGAGAAAAAAAGAAATAAAGAAATAAAGAAGGAAAACGACAATTAAATAAAGAGTTAACCTTTTTCTGGGAGAGTTACATCTTCCATTGATCCCTCAATGACTTCAACAACACTGTCTAGCTTGTTTGTTCTAACAAGTTCACGAGCATGTTCTGCCATCTTAGTGGCCTCAACTGCATAGACTTTACGTGCACCTGCCTGTGCAGACCAAATAGCCAGAATGCCACTCCCAGTTCCAACATCTAGAACAGCCTAATCCATGGATAAACCAACTAACTCAATCCAAAAACTATTGAATTCAAGTATATACTTAACTAATATCAATCATGAATTTTGAACGTGAAGCAAAATATCCTCGTAATGTTGTAAAGATGCCCAACCATGGTAGGTTCACTAACTACACAGTTTATTAATACGATACAAGAATAATATTATTGATAAACCGTCATATAAGATCTTATAATTCGTGTACCGAACATAACCAGCAAATGCATCTGTCATGTTGTGAGCACTAGAGTTTAGAATCAGAAAAGAAATTCTAAAATTTGAAACTGAAATCAAGAAATTTTAATTTAAAAAACTGCATTCGGCAGCGTCTGCTGCCTTCAGTGTGTTTATAAGTTATAACTTTAGGCTACGTTTGGATTGAGGGATTTGAAAAAATCTATATATTTCAAATTTATAAGTTCAAATCTCCATGTATGTTCGGATGATAATAGAAGTTAGAGGATTTCAAATTCACGCTAGATAGATTTTAGTCATGGATTTTAAAGGGCTCCTCAAACCTAGTAGTCCTTTGAAATCCATTGTTTATCCCACCGACGACCAAACCTAGTCAACACCATCAATGCCAGCTAGGATTTATAATCTTTTTTCACAAATTCATTCAAAGAGTTTGAAAGTAGAAAATTTGTATTTCAAAAAAATCGAAATAAATATATTTCAAATCACTCAAAACAAGCTTAGCCTTAAAAATTATAATTGCTTGCAAAATAAAAAAAGTTGGAAACTTCAGATTATTGTTTTATGTCTAGTAAAACCACTCAATATCATAGATTAAAAGGTGGAAAATTCTGATGAATCCTCCAACAAAACGACGATTTCATTATAGGGACGAACAAAAAGAGTGTACCTTTCCTTCGAAGTGGTGTTTATTTTCGAAAATGGCATTGTAATAAGCGTCCATGCGGACTCGGTCGCAAAGCATCTCCTTCTGGTGGTAGAGAAAGCCATAGGTGCAGAAGTAGTTCGCGAAGTCAACTCCCTTGTCCACAACTCCATTTCCACGGGCGCTTCCCATTGTCGTTAATTCAATCTAACGAAGAATCTGACTTTAGCTGTGCAGACACCAGAAACAAAGAAAGCCACCCAACGTGAGAAATCCGAGAAATGAACCAGTTTTCAGTTAAAAAATCCAAGAACGGAAGATTAAACTTGAAAACCTGGAACTGAAAATGAAGCCAAGACGAACGTGTTGTTGACGGAATTTGAGCTAAGGAAAATTCCCAAATGGTTTCCTTGTCTTTTCAGCGGTGATTGGAAAGTTCAATGGAAGAAGAAAGAGATGTTATAAAATGGTCACCGTAGTTTCTTGAATAGAGTTCCAGAGAGGAAAATTCGAGCATGAAGAAGAGCCGCCGACCTGTGCTTCAAGTGTGAAGGAATTGAGTTGTGTTTATTGACGGAGAGGGTTTAGGTCAAGTACAATGAAGATTTTGACCGTAAAATCTCAAGGCCAGTGTTCATAAAATAATTTTCACAATATATTTTTTTAACTTAAAGTATAAATCAAATTAACTCATATATTTCAATATAATAAAAAAATATCAATCATTCATTCATTTTCAGGTATCACATCAATTTTAATACATTATGCATTCACTCTACTAATTTTAACTACTCATCACTTTCTATTAATTTCAACTACTCATCTCAAGGTCACCCTCTCTTATTTTTACATCAAATTAATTTCAATTATTATATTTTAAATATTGTTTAATACAAACTCAAAATCTCATTCAAACCTAACATAATCAATTTGATTAATTCAAGTTAACTAATAAATTTAATCAAAACTAAAATAAGTTGATTGTTTATGCATTCAACTAAAAAAAAAAATCAAAACTCAAATTTAATTCAACTTTAACCCAATCTCACTATCTCAATATTATCAATATAATTAAATAATATCAACTAATCATTCTTACACACCACATCAACTTTAATTCACTATTCATTCACTCACATAATTTTAACTAATCATCACTTTCAATCATTTTTCTCTTATTTTACATCAAATCAACTTTAATTATTTTATTTAAATATTACTTTAGTATATCCACTAACAACTAACCATACCACCTTTTTTTTAAAATTAACTATAGTTAAAAAAACAAACCAAATAAAATCTAGTTGAATCTATAAACAATCACCCCATTATATCCAATGGCCTCCAAGTTGTTATGTTATTCTAACCAATCACGCGGATTGCCCTTTATCTTTTGGCAGATCTTATATATAGTAGAATAACCGAGATAATACACATGTCTAGTAGATAATTTTAAAATTTCATTAATTGAGCTATTAAAATTGCAAAGGGAGATCCCTTTTTCTCCTCTGGCGACAAACCCTCGTTTCTTAAATCTGCTCGCTCAATCCTAATTGCAGGTCGATTTGCCTTCCTCGGCGCCGGCGGAGCTTCGGCTAGGGGTCGTCCTCGACCGCTTGGCTACTCCTGATGTCGCGCGACACCGTGTTGCTGTGGTCTGTCAAAGATTGGAGGTCTGGTCTTCGATCGTTGCTGGGGTTCTGGTCGGCGGAGGCGCGCCTCCCGGTCGGCGTCTGGCCTGAGATCGATGTCTTCCCCTCAGTCGCCGGAAGTGCTCAGATTGGTGGCGGTAAGTTTCTTGCTCCCCTCCTTGTCTACGATTCTTGGGATCTGCCTTTTCTGGCGGGGCTCCGCCTCTTCTGGTGGAGTCTAGGCTTCTGGTCGAAGGCGTTCTGTGGTGGTTTCGAGCGACGCGTGAGTTATCGGGTGTGGTGGGACTCCGGCTACTGCGCTGTATCATGTTGCGGCAGTCGGGGTTGAGAGACCGAACCGCCCTCCTCTGTACGGCTAGTGGTGTTAGGCGGCAGGGGTTCCGGTTTTCTTGAGCTCGGCTAGTGGTGTTAGACGGGTTCGGGTGGGCTGGTGTTTGGGCTGGTTGTGTCTCTCTCGGTTGAAGATGGGTCGATTCGAGAATTGGTTCGGGGCTCAGGTTCGGCTACTGTATAGGCGACATTGCAGTTTCGGTAGTGGTTTCTTGAGCTCGGTATCTTTCTTGGGTCGATCGCTCACTGCTAGTTGGGCCTGCTTGTTTGCCGGGAAGGGCTATAATGTTATTGTAGTATTTATGTTGTTCTTGTTTTGTATTTCCTGTGATTGTATTGTTTGTAGTATCCCGGTGGGATCGTTGTTTGTAGTTTTTGTGTGGTTTTTTAGTTAACTATTGTGTAGTCGCGAGTATTTTTTTATTCTAGCTTTGCTAGCGTCGGGATTCTAGGCGGTCTTCGGATATGTCCTCCCACTTTTCAGCCGTTGGCTGCTCTTATCTGTGTATTCGCACATTTGTGTCTTTTGATTTATAATAATATCTGTCGTTTTGGGAAAGAAAAAAAAAAAGCTATTAAAATCCTCATTTATTATATATTAATTCAGAACGTGCTGAGCCTAAGTGGCAGGCTAGCATTCTTCGAGATCTTATGGGGCAAAATTACATGCTTTGTTATTAGTCTTGAGTAGATTTTAATTTACTTCCAATCAAAAAATAATTAGGTTCGGATTATCCATAAATATGTTGATTATTCATGGTCATGTTACATGTATTAATTACATTTTAATATCATTTCTTATTATAACCATTGAACTGTAAATGTATTTTAAAAGTTAATAATTTTGTATTTTTATCAGTTTTACATATATAATATATCAAATTAATCATCTCTTGATGAACTTCGATTTCACATCCATCTTGTATGTATAAAAAAAATAAATTATATTTATCTTTATAACAATATTATTATTTTTAATATTAATTAGAATAATAAAATTATTTATCAATTAATATATTTATATTTCAAGTAGTTGTATGATATAAGTTTTAAAATTATAATAATGTAAGTCACAAGTAACAAATGTCATTCTAAAATATATAATAATATATATTTTTGGTAAAAAAGTAAATAAAATTTATTTTTTCTCATTAATTTTATAATTTAAGGATAATTTTTTAACAAACACCCGCGTAATACACATGTGTTGTACTAGTTACCTTTACCTAAAAGCTTATGAGAAAATTTTGTACACTTTACCCAACTTTACCACATTTTTTTGTTACCCTAAATTTTTACTTAATCAATTGTTGTACCTAAAATTTCATACGTTATTTTTTCTATTGTTAGAATCTTGTGTTTTTTCTATTGTTTTCAGTTGTTTCTCGTGTCTCTTATTTAATATTTTATTTTTTCCCAAAAAAAATAGTTGGGCGATATTATGTGACATGCTATTTGCTTAATGTATAATGAGTAAAAATGATAAATTTATAACAAACTATGTTTCTTATGTTTTAATATTTTACACTATATTCATAATTTCTTGTGCAAAATACATTTTTTGTTTTTTTTTTTTTTTGTCTCAAAGCATCAAATATTATAGAATCAAACCTTGAATGTACATGAAATCCACAGTCAAATGACCGCAACACAAGAGGGGCAAGCCTGATAAGGCACCCTAGGAGACCAAACAAGGTCATGCACAAGAAACCAGCTTAAGCAAAGAAAAAAAAAAACC